GTGAAGTCCTTGAGAGGGATGCGGTGTGGCGCGAGAAGCACCCACCGAGCAGCCTCCAAGTTGTCAACGAACAACTGTTCCTTCTGAACAAGGGTACGCTCGTAAATACCTCTAGAGGTGTGGCCGACCACAAGGCCACGAGGAGCAACGAGAAGCTACAGGAAGCGGTCAGCCCCAGAGCTCTCCTCGGGAGGCCAATACCCTCGCAAGTTGATGGCAGCACGGGAAGCAACATCCCCTGAATGTTTCACATCCTGGGCTCAGCTGTGTGAACAGCTCCGAGCCGCGTTCCTCCCGGTGAACTACGAGTACCGCTAGCGTTCCCGCTTCCTCTCGTGTAAACGAGGGAGGCGCGAGCTGCACGAGGATGTGCAGGGGATACGGGAGCTCACGGCGTCCCTAGTGGAAAACCCACTCAACGAACACATCAAGATGACTGTGTTCATGGACAGCCTTCGAGTGGGCCCCGCACGCACTCAGCTGTTCCGGGTGCAGTCAAGCACCCTTGAAGAGGCGATTCAAGTGGCTCTTCAACAAGAGTACAGCCATCGCCAGGCGCGTACGCCGGCTTCAGCGTGGCCTGGGAGTTCTTTGTCGGCTCCCAGTCGAACAAGCCCCAACGGACCAGTTCCCATGGAACTCGGGTCCGCCGAACAGCGTGACATCCGCTGCTTTGGCTGCGGGAAGATGGGCCACTTCAAGCGCGACTGTCCCGCGGAAAGACTCCGCAGACGGTCCCTTCCCCAAGCCCGTCCTCAAGGGTCGCTGGCAGAAGCCAGGGTCCCGGGGACAGGGGACAGGGGAACGCCGGGAACCAGTAGGGGCGGGGCGCCCTACTGTGGAAGAACTAAGTCTTCGTGATGGGTGCGCGGGTGGCAGTACCATGGGGACATAGCCCCTGAGAGTCTTCGCACTCTCGAATCGGCGAAGAGCAGCGGCGGATTGCTCGTAGTACACGGGATGTGTACGGGGATACGATCATCCCTTTTAGAGTATTGATCGATTCTGGGGCGTCGAAGAATTTCGCACGCTGTCAGACGCTGCTCGTAATAGCAACAAGTTGTCCGACTGCTTTGAGAGAAAGCAAGGGCAACGGAACGGTGTCAGTACGACTGGGCGACGGGAAGGTCGTCACTGTCCCCAACGTCCAACCGTCAAGTGTGAAGATTTTGACAGCCTCGAACAGTTCACTGTTCTCGATATGGATCCATATGATATGATCCTGGGCATGCCCTGGCTTGAGAAGCACGAGCCCTGGATCGACTGGCGAGGCAAGGCAATCGGTGCCAGCCACCCTGCGCAGTCCGACAGAGCATTGGTGAGTCATGTTCCCACCTATGTCAGGACCCGGGGCGCCCGCAAGGCCTGCCAGGGTACCAAAGCATCCGGCAGATGTTTGGGAGTCGTCGACGGATATGACGACTCCAAGGACATTTTTATGGTGGCAGCGCCCGGAGGAGGCGCTGGCCAAGTGGGTAACTTAGTTCCGCAGACAGCTGCAGCTGTCACTAACACTGAGAACAGCGTGTTCAGAGTGGGTAACAGAGTTCCACTCACAGTCGCCCAGAACTTTAACTGAAGAGGAAGACGTCGGATATGCTTCCTGTGTGGGTAACACAGTGCCACACGAAGCCCACGAGTGCCTCGGATGTCGGAGCGCCGACATCCCCAGACGTGGGTAGCAAAGCTCCACGTCACGGTCGCCGTCGACGACGACGTCGCTTCAAGCGACTCGGAGTCCAGGGCCCGGGATCCTCCGACAAGGCCGGTGGAAGAGTGTTATCACATCTTCGATGGCGAGACCGGTTTACCCGTCAAGGCATCTGGTGGTCCACTTGGAACCGTTGCCAGAGGCTGCAAAGATACTGAACCTCGAGGAAATGACGGTCAAGTCTTTCCTGGCCAACCTCAAGGCTGGAAAGGTTGCCGAGATGGTGCTCGTGAGACCTGAGACCACTCGGGAGGAGCTGAACTCCTCTGGTCCGGACGAGAGCGTTCTAGAAGACCTAAACAAGCAGCGTCAGACGCGCTTGGGTTCTGAGATCCTTAAGAACCCCAAGGATATGGTGTATCCTTTGGTGACGGAGTATGCGGACGTGGTGAGCAAACACCCACCGACCCAGCTTCCACCGGATCGAGGTGTACGGCATGAGATTGATCTCGTGCCTGGCACAAAGTGATGTGTCACGAGGCAATGGCCTCTCCCGCGCGAACAGTGCAAGGTCATTGATGCCTTCTTCGCCGCGAAAGCGAAGGCAGGCATGGTGCGGAAGTCAAAATCCCCGTACTCGACGCCAACTTTCTGCGTTCGGAAGCCGAACGGAAAGTGGCGTCTAGTTCATGCTTATAACAAGCTGAACAACGCGACAGTGCCGGCATAAACACCAATCCCACGAAAGGATGTGTTGCTAAACAACATGGCCGGAAGCGTACTGTACAGTGCGCTGGATTTGGTAGACGGATACTACCAGATCCTGATGCGAGAGAGCGACATCCCGCTCACCGCGGTAAGCACTCCTTTGGGAGTGGCCCGTCATGCCGCAGGGCTTGTCTAACGCCCCGGCGACGTTCAATCACCTGGTGACGCAGTTGTTCCGCCCTTTGCGTATCTTCGTACAGACGTACTTCGACGACATATTCGTCCATAGCCATGCCGAGTGAGGCAAGACGGCCATGGAAATGCAACTAGGACACCTCCGTCGAGTGTTGGACGTAATGCGAGCGAACAAGCTCTACGCCAACATCGACAAGTGCGTCTTCGCGTCACCAGAGATTAAAGTTCTCGGTTGCTTCGTAAGCAACGTGGTCGTTCGGGCTGACCCAAACAAGGTCAAGGTCATAGCAGCATGGTCAACGCCCCGATCCCAGAAGAATCTCCGAAAGTGGTTGGGCTTGGCCAACTTCCTTCACAAATACAGTGCAGGGTACGCGGGCTTTGCTAAGCCCTTGTCGGGCCTCCTTCAGAAGGACGTCGACTGGTACTGGGAGCAAGAGCACCAGGATTCCTTTGACAGCATCAAGGCCAGTCTCCAAGAGGCCCCTGTCCTGGCCCTGCCGGACGAGACGAAGCCGTTTAGCGTCGTCTGCGATGCCTCCGACAACGCCATCGGGTGTGCATTGCTGCAGGCCGACACGGCTGGACATGACTGAGTTATCTCGTTCCATGCCAGGCAGCTCAAAGCCGCCGAGCGGAACTACCCTGTCCACGACAAGGAGCTCCTGGCAAAGAAATATGCCCTTGTGAAGTTTCGTGTTCACCTTCTGGGCTCCCGGCCCTTCGTGATCTACACAGACCACGCGTCCTTGAGGACGGCGACTAACTCGCCTCACCTCTCCCAAAGGATGGCAAGGTGGCAGTACTTCTTCGCGGAATACAACTTCCGCGTCGAGTACAAGCCGGGCAAGCTCAACGTGCTTGCGAACGCCCTCTCTCGGCGTCCTGACTACGAGTTGGCCCACATCACACGGGTGACAACGGATCTATATGATTGGATACGCATGGCGTATCGGGACGATGAGGCTGTCGCGCCTATCGTCAAGTCTCTCACGGCAGGAACAAGCGCGAAGTCCGACTGGCTCTCGTCGCGACAGCGCTCATTGTGGTGTAGTGATTTCTCCGTAGTTACGGATTATCACCCGTCGACAAAGACGTGACACCGCCCAAGATGTTCAAGCAACGAACCCTCGGTCATGTGATGTACGGAGACGCCAAGGTGCAAGGGACTCGACGGCGTCACTTCCGAACTTTCAACGAGTATTGGATACGGCCATATGTCACTGAATCCAGGCTGTCCTTATTATTAATAATGGACTGGCCGGATTCGCATTCAGCGGACCATCTACGGTACGAACCCTCAGTGGCGGTTGGGATGAGTTCGCGGAAGTTTCAGCGACCCTTGGAAGGCATGTTCACCGTCTGGGACAGGGAGCGGACCGTTAAAGATACTCATGCGACGGTGCAAACGACGCTTGACGTGCAAGAAGATCCATAACGGATCATTGTTCACTTGATATTTGTATACTTGATTAGGACTTCTTATTAGGAATAGACCCGGAAGAGTAAGCTTAAATACAGAACAGAATTTCCACTCAAGCACACAGAGCGACGTCCGGCTTCAAGGTAAGCGTCAGGTCAAGCTTGTTTGAGTGTGTTATGCCTGTCGGTGAACTCAAAGCTCTGTAGCGAGAGGATAAGATAGAATCACTACAGTTGATTAAACCCACACTCTTATGGTGGTGTTGGCCACTGACAGGAAGAGCAACACACTACTAATTTAGGAGCCGACACGCACCAACTGTTTGGTAGTCAAACCCTGATCATATGCGCGGAGCACCTGCAAAGAGGACTTCTACACCAACTCAAATGAAGATACCACCAACATGGATCCGACATTATATGTAGAGGTTTATACACAGCGTGCATTGACGGCTCCATAGCACTTTGAAGCAATCATAACTGGAGGTATTTCTATGATTGTAGTCGTCACTACAGAGCTTTAGGAAGTTGGATCATTTGAAAAAGGCTAGGTAATGCTTGTATGACGTCAAATACAAAGATGGTCCGTGCCCACTCAGCAAGTTTGCTAAGTTTCACACAATTTTTTGCAGCACAGAATAACGTGTACATGCACTATGGCTGTGTGATCATGTAGGTTGTGTCGTGAGCCGCAATGACGATCCAGAACCTGTATCCGCCTATAGTTCGACAGTATGAGTAAATACTGAGGCATTCTAGTTACGTAGAGTATGTGTAGTCGACAACAGAGTAATGTGTGCGCAACGTGCTACGTGTAACGTTAACCTTGCTAATCGAACGACAAAGACCTCAGGATATCATCGTTGACAGTACTTGGTTTTTGCATTATCCTTATTCAATGAGAGCCCGCTACAAACAATACGACGCCATTCTAGCGACGAGAGGCTTAAGGGAGCAACCTCTTGGGGTCACGCGGGGACATGGAGGACTTACTGATGTTGCCCAGACCCAAGTACAACATGACCACACGCTCCAGACCAATACCACCGCCACCGTGGGGCAGAGAGTCAAGACGGAGAGAGTAGATGTAGTTGCACATCGACACCTGAGGCACACCCAGTTCGTCCATACGCTCCATCAGCAGCTTGGGATCGTGCACATGCTGAGCACAAGACCATCTCCTCGCCTCGGATCATCATGTCGTACGAGTTGCTCCAACGCTTGTCCGTCGGGTCTGGCATCGTGTAGAACGGACGCACAGCCAGCGGGAACTTGTCGAGGATGTAGAAGTCTGTATCGTATTTCTCCTTGATGAGACGACCCAGCCACTTCTCTTTCTCTGTGCTCAGATCGTCTTCAGGTCAGCTCCAGCCTCCTTCAGCATCCTGACACCTTCCTAGAAGTTGATGATAAGCGACGGCTTGTTGTACTTGAGCGGCTCGAACGGGTACTGCTCGTTGATAGAAGCCAATTCGTTGGCGTAACGTTTCTTCAAGCCATCGAAAATGTAGATGTACAGGTCTGAGAACACCTACAGCACCTTGTGGTAGTGCGCCTTAATAGTCAGCTCCAGATCCAGACCCACGAGCTCGCGCATGTGACGGTTCGTGTTCGAGGTCTCAGCACGGAAGCCCGGGCCGATCTCGAACACGCGCTCGAGACTAGCAACATCACACGCCATATGCTTGTACGTCTGCGGACTCTGAGCCAAGGTAGCGTCCTGGTCGAAGTACTTGAGTGTGAAGTAGTTGGCTCCGCTCCCCGAGGCGCCACCGACCAGCTTGGGCGTGTGGATCTCCACGTAGTCGCTTGATGAGGAATGCACGCACGCGTGTCCAGCAGCAACCAACGAAGTGCACGTGGGGACCAATCCATCGACCGCGATTCCGTCAAGCGTGCCAGTCAAGACGGCAACGATCTCCACACGCACTGGGTCCGCACGCGTGTCCAGCAGCAACCAGCGAAGTGCACGTGGGGACCAATCCATCGACCGCGATTCCGTCAAGAGTGCCAGGCACGTCGTAGACGACCTATTCCCCGTCCAGTGCAATGACGCCCGAGTTCTCTGTGAGTCGCAGCTTGATGCGATCCAGTCGACGAGCAGGTTCCAGTACGTCCAGCAATCTACCGAGGATTGGGCTCGCCGATCCGAGCCCATAACTGGATGTCTGTTCTACGTCAACCTGGTAGCCAACCGCTTGTACGCCAAGATCCCATCGTCAGTCACCGCAGCCATGCTCAATCTCGGCCGTGAATCTGTCGCAAATTAACGCGCCGCTGTTTTTGAAACTCTCAACCGGAAGAAAGCCACGGTACCAATTCTTCTCCCTCGCAGATTGACCTCGTTTCGAAGATTATTGTGACGCAACCACGCGGATCAACAGCTTGTAACGATGGGTTCACTCTAAAGAGCTGAATGATCAACGTGCCAGCCAAGTACAAGCCACTTCAAGTACTCTGAGAAGGCTCGTACGGCTTCGTTTGCGCGGAGACGGACACGGAGGCCAAGAAGGGCGTTGCTATCAAGAAGATCACGCCTATGGAGGATGGCGAGTGGGACGCCAAGCACACGTTACACGGACTTCGGACTCTCTCGGTACATCCCACACAGCGCTCGTACGGACGGCGTCACGTCTCCAACCGACGCATCATGTTGGCGCCCTCGAGAGTGTACAATGAGACGGTGGATATGTGGTCCATTGTCTGTATCTTCGGCGAGCTATTGAATCGTCGACCCATGTTCCCTCGCTCCGACTTCCTGGATCAACTATCTCGCGTCTTCAAAGCTCTACCCGTTCCAGTCTCTTCTAGCTTGGTACACACGCCGAAATGTTCTCAAGCCGCGAATTCTTAAGTGAATGAAAAAAGCATAGCCAATGTATTCATCAGCTGTTACGGATGTAAAGGTCCAGCTAAAACTGCCCTGTATCCAGCTCATGTAAAGGCTGCAAGCAGATCCATCGGGATGCAGATAGGCATGCGGCTACATTCGACGACGCTTGGTCTGGATTCTGGAGTCTTGCGCTCTGCGTGTGGGAGTTCTTGATCTTGCAGATCTGCGCAAGTTGTGGGTAGACTGTCGGTACACCGGTGTCTGCACATTCAATGCCTGACGTGTGCTGTTCTCTTCAAATCGTGCAATATCAGGATCGGTCTGTGCTACTGCAACTTGCAGCTCGTCATGTACGTCTGGCAGTGGATCTGCCGGTGATGGAACGACAGGACCTTGCTGCAATGGTACCGGTACCTCCACTGCATTCTGCACTTCACGCAGCTGTGCTACCGGGTTTGGATGGTCGTCTACCAGAGACTCGCTCGCTTCCATGGAAGCAGCAAGTGTAGGTGGCCCGTACATAGCACCTTGAGGCTCTATTGGACCACCTTCGTTATTGTCTGTATCTAAGTCGCAATTCCCTATCCGCCGAGCTGCAGTGCGCGATTGTTGTGCCGGCCGCACAAATCTTTGCGAAGGAGCTGGCATACCTGGACATGCCAGCCCAGAAAATTCGGTTGCCTTAACACCGTGTAGGCATATCCAGCTTTCTTAAAGCACAGACACGAACATGTGCGTGCAGTAGCATCAACAATCCATCCACCGACGGGCATGTTGGCCCAGCTAATTCTAGCGTAGTTTTTGGCCTCGTACGTACACGTCTTTTTAGGATTTGCAGCAAGAGCATGCACAGATTCTCCTGGCTCTTGTGATGAGTTCGTGGGAAGCGGAGATGGTGCGACACGAACCAGAACTAAATTGTTGTCTCGGTGAATCAATTCTGCAGTCATGACCTTTTTTATCAGTCCTTCTGTAAGCAGCCAGTAAACGTTTGGATACAGTAGGCTGATCGCAAAAGGGTTGCATTGAGGCGATAAACGAAATTCGTGACAAATCCAGGCGGACAACAAGCTCTGCCGGGTTAGCCCGTTTGCTGTCATTCACTAGTTTTAATGTGTAGTGGTACTGCTCAAGCGGGTTGTTAGTAGCCGCGTACCCTGTGGGGGTACGATAAGCTTGCCAGCGTGAAAAGCGGGCGCCTAGTATCCACTGCGAAATAATGTGATTTGTCACACGTCGAAACCGAGGACATATTGTACCCGCTCCACGCCATGACCTCACAACAAACTCTCGTTTACGCAGATAGTGCTCTTCATCGGTAGCATAGTGCAAATCATACAGATTTCGAAAAATCAACTGAACTGATATCCCATCCAGCTTTGATTCTTGCGTTTGTCGTTGTACATTTTGTGTAACATGGAACCAGCACATTAGGACCGTGCTATCAGGTAAATTAGTTGTGCAGGCATTGTACTGAGCTTTGTCAGCGTCCATCATGACAAAGTCGGGCGAAAATTGCCCGTTAAACAATTCCAGAATCACACGCTTTAAAAACGCCAAGTACCAAGCAACGTCTTCATTGCGACGTTGTGATGTACAGCAGTATGGAATTGGCTGGAATCTTCCAACACGATCTGAAATACCCACAACAGAAACAGGGTATTTCTGCTTTACGCAGTCGTGCGTAGTGTCTAGATGAAGAACTGTTGAAAGATCCGGGTTTTGTTGCACATCCACATAGCTCTCAAGTAGTCTTGTACATGTTAACCCAATACGAAATGGATTACCTAGCGCACCGGTGCCAAGAGCTGGTTCAACTACACCATCCACCACTTTGGTATCGCAAAAAACCAGCAAAGAATTCGGATCTTGATCCCAAACTCTACGAGAATCTTCACAATCATACATGCATTGTCGACAAATTTCTAGCACAGGCTCCATTGAGTCCGGCCGATTTTTGCGCCGCCAACTTTTTTGATAGTTCTGCACCTTGGCTAGCTCTGGAGCGGGCCCTATAATGCGCCGGTCTCTTATCTCACGACAAAGAAACGAGTACAAAGCTTGTGCCACAATTGAAGGTGTGTCTTCCAGCCTCGTGTCCAGATAGGCTTTCATTGCAGGATTTAGCTTAGCTGTTGTAGGTGAAGGCGGCGCATCTTCAGCCATGATGTGTACGCCTTGCTCTAATACAATTTTGCCGTCACTTTCTTGGCATTCTAGTAGCTTGTACCGACAGCGGCAGGCTTTTCCAGACGCCTTGCAACGCTTGGAGGTACACTTTGTAACTATGTAACGCATTTCATGCCAGGTAGTCACTAAGTTGTCCTCGTAGCGAGAGATGTGATCTATTGTGCAGTGATGTAGCTCACTAGTCGGTCGGGAAAAGGCTGGCAGACCCGCTAAAAAGTCGCTATACGAAACAGTGTCTCCTTTACCCCACACTTTCAGCCATGGCAGGCGTCCAACGTGACCGCCGCGTTCAACATCCATGCTGCGTGCTTGAAAACGAGGGCTACGTAGTTATATTCTTGTGCTATAGTGCTGTAATTAATCCAACGGTGTTGTGAAAATGCTATATTTATTTGTGGATTCAACGATGCTTTTTGTGAAACCTCCCATATTTTTAGTGTGGTGTGCAGGTCCTTTTTTATGGTGAACCTTTCTAAATAAGCATTGCAAATCATTTCAGTTATCGTGCGACTCTCAAGATAATCGGTGCTTTGGATGGCCCTCCTGTAGCGAGGGTTCATCCGGCAAGGCCAAGAGACTTTGTGTATTGGCCGATTATTATCGGGAGGTTTTACGTGACGGCTTATTGTTGCCTACTTGCACGACTGGGAGTGGTTGAATTGCCTCATTTTTATTCTTCCAACCGAGTGTTGAACACTCGGTGATCTCGTAAAAGGCTTACCCGTGCCTGGTACCCTTCCGCTGTTGGGACCACGAGGATTCAAAACACCTGCTAGCTTTGCTCGTGCTAGTAGCGTGTTCTTATTTTTACTGGTTGGCCTATCTAATTAGTTTACAAGGTCCAGTTTGTCCCGGTGCAAGGGCAGAACTGGGGTCTTCAGGTCCGCCTGAACGATCGTTTACTATCCTAGTAGACGTATTGTTGTGGGAACGTCCTAACTAGATTTGTAGCTAGAGTTCACGTGGGAATTCCAACGCCACAACTGGTGCCGCGACCCGGAAACAGATTGTGACCATTGTGAACTGTTTGTATGGCCTTCCGGTTTAAGAGCTACCAAGAGAAGAAGAATAAGAAAACGAAAAGAAGAAACATGGCGAATGGACAACCGACGGTACCAGTTACGCCTGCCAAGTCTGGCGGGGCTCGCAACGAGAGTTCAAGCCCGGCTGCGCGCTTTGCAGCCGCCACCGAGCTTTCAGTGAGCTTCGACGACGAAGTGGACATCGGTCCTGACGCACACGATTATGAAGATTACGAAGACAAGACGCCGGCTCCAGAGCCAGGCGCAGGGACGCCGGAGACGGCCACGCTATCATCGGGGCTGAGCGGGGCGACCAGGCCCATTTTCAAGGAGCCTCGCCGACGAGCTCGATGGTGTTGCGGGACCGGAACCCGCCTACGAAGATTATGACGATGGGACCGAGGGTTCTAAACCTTCGGTGGCGAGTGCAAAGCATTCAGCACTGCTGAAGGCACTTCGCCCACCTAGAAACGGTGATACACCAGCCGCCAAGCGCGTTTTTGACCGCGTACAAGCGCCGATGCAGAATGATGAGTGGATGCAGCTGTTCAAGCCCATCCCCAAGAAAAAAGCCGACTGGCCTGCGCTTGGGCAGGAACTTCAATACCCAGTCAACTCGGTTTCGACTAGCCAAGTTGCCGAGGATTCAGTTTCGCGACTGTTGTCGCTGGGCTTCGAGAGCGAGACGTACCCATCGACGATGTCGCTCCAAGATTGGAGTCCACATGAAGCCGGAGCTGCTCTCCAGAAATGGAAGAAGAAGCTTCGGAAGGCGTTTGGCGCTGTTGGCATCAACCCCGGAAAGCTGCCTGTGAGTCGACCGATGATTCAAGATGAAGATCCGTCCACGATTACACTGCCGCCGACACCCCAACGACTCGTTCGTACTCCTCCAACCAAGCGTGGAGCTGAGCGTGGTGCCTTTGGCACTACCGAAGCTTCACCGTATTTTCAAGACTCGCACATGGTTACGCCACGTTCGACGAGCCGTATGCAACGTATTTACGCTGGTAACGAGGGTTCGTTCGGTCACCGAGGCGGTGCGCGAGCTCTTAAAGGTGGTGCCGGACGTCGTCAAGTCGACAGCGATGGTTCGTCCAGTGACGATGACATTTTGGTGCGTACATTCGACGAGGAGGATCCTCAACTCGAGTTGATGCGTCAGATGAATGAGCTAGCGACGCTGAACGA